GCGATCGGCTGTTAACCGAAAAGTTGGAGGTTCGAGCCCACCCGGAACCCCTACCGCACGCAAGCGGGGGACAAATAAGCCACTTGGCGACGCTGCGGAGGGTGAAAGAGCGTCGCCAATTGGCTTATTCGTCCCCCGCTTGCGTGCGGTAGGGGTTCCGGCACGTGCGTTGCGGCTGTGCGAGAAGCGCGTGGAACGGCCTAAGGTGCTGCTCGTGTGAAGAAACGGCTACCTCTGAGGGCTCCGATTTTCATGCTCGCCAACTAGGTCATCGTGCTTGCCACAAATAGCCAGAATCATCACAGAACACGCCGAAGAATAAGGAAAGCGGCGGATAAACCAGCTCCGCTTGTGGGTGTCATAAGACGCGAAAGACATCGGGCGTTGCGTTTCATTGCTCAGTGCTACTTCACGACTTGAATTTTTGTGATGCTGCAGCTTAAGTAAGACCTTTTTTAATGTATATGAGTTCTCATTTACAGCGATTACGGGGCTGGGCTTATGCCGCTGAAGCATACCACGTAATTACGCGAAGTTATAGAGGCGACACCGTTGGATGCCTCATTAGGAATCACAGGGTCCCTTGCGCATTCACCTAAGAAGACCCGAAGGTGAACACCATCTTGTTTTTATTATCAGTCGATGTGTAGATTCTACCAGGCCATGAATGAGTGTCAGCAGATATGCCATGCGTGTGAACCCGTCTTGCATCGTGGCTGGGGGAGATAACTAGTGTAGCTTGGGCAAGTGCTGGTGTGCTTTGAGTGGGGTAAGTGCCCCTTTTGCACACCCTGCCGAGGCCCACGCCTACCACCATCCGCACTACCCTTCGAAAAATTGCTGCACGTAATCAGGTTTTGCGTTGCCTCCATGATCAGACCACCTTGACCAATCTCGGATATCACGTGATTACGTGAAGTCACAGGACTTTTAATGATGTCACAATTTTCGGCGATGTCTGACGCCATACACCTTGTCATCGCGTGATGATTTTTCGGATCACCCGACGTCGCCGTCGCGGGACGCAAACGGTAAAGTTTGAAGTTTGATGACGCACCTACAGTTCTCGCTTAGAAACGAAAAAAAAAAAAACAGTCGGTGGCTATATGGCATCCCGTGGTGGTGGCGTCAACAAGAGCGTATAGTACTCACTTGATGTCCATTCTATGGGCGTGCTGCTGGTAGCTGGTTTTTACTGTACTCTCACCGTCCCAAGTGCGAAGTTTCACAGGCACAACATATGAAACAGGCAATTAAAATTCCGATCCACCAGCGTACTGGGGCTCGAACCCATTTATAAAAGTTAAATTTTGACATTGAATTATCATGCGCGAATTGCCATGGTCTTGCACCGCGTATCGCGTGGAAACATTTGACGAGTGATAGTGCCTAACATGAAGTGCTAATGGTAAAGCTGTACGGTCATGCTGAAAATAAAACAAGACAAAAGCTTTTGCTACGTGGAAATACGACCAACGAAGCGCACAGGCTCGCCGTGAAAGCCGAAAATTGTTTCCAATTCAATTGGCTCTTCGCGGGTACGTTAGCATTTTCCCTGGCATCTAATAAGTCAAGGATACTTACCGTCTGCTGACTTTGATTGATTGATTTGTGGGGTTTAACGTCCCAAAACCACTCTATGATTATGAGAGACGCCGTAGTGGAGGGCTCCGGAAATTTTGACCACCTGGGGTTCTTTAACGTGCACCCAAATCTGAGTACACGGGCCTACAACATTTCCGCCTCCATCGGAAATGCAGCCGCCGCAGCCGGGCCGTCTGCTGACTTTATGTTGCTCTGTGTTGAGCCTCTTCTGTGAGCGCGAACTGAAGCACGGTTATCACGCGCGATATTCCCGCAAGGATGTGTCCGTACGCCCGCGCACTGCGGGAAACGAGGTGAATCGCGCTCCGGCTTATCATAATGCTTTGTAGCCAGCGTAGGTGGCGCGCGCCGATTTCTGTAAAGGTCCATTGAGGTAAAAATGTCACCTCGCTCTTCATATAGGATGTGACGAGGGAAGGGGACGAGTTTTGACGTTGGGCTGGGGACCGCATAATACGGCTTCGCGGGCCGCTGATTGTTGACCACTGTTCTAGATTGTACAAAAGTATTGCACACGTTCCTAGGTGTCAAATCGTCTGTACCCCCACCCCCCCGCCCCCGGCTGAACTTACGCGGTCACGGTAAACTGTGTCAAGTGAATCTAGCACATATCGTTAACGCTTCTATGACGAGTAATTGCAATTATGTATCCAATATTGAAATAGGAGTTGGAACTATTGGTTCAGCGGCCTCCTCCCCCAGCTCTAGTAGTAACGTAAGGAGCGTCCACATATGATGAATTGGTTCCGATTTTGGTGAATGAAAGAGTGGGTAAAACAATTGCAGCATATCCAAGCAGTGAATGATAATGAGTGGGGCGAATTGCGTCCGTGAGTCCGTCTGTGCCTACATCCGTACGCCCGTGCGTGAGACAGACAGACAAACAGACGGACAGACAGACAGACAGACAGACAGACAGACTGACAGACAGACAGACTGACAGACAGACAGACAGACAGACAGACGACGGACGGACGGACGGACGCGGCCAATGGATTATTCCCGGTTTGCCCATAAAACCGTCCTAAGCCTAGCCGCACTCATCATCATTCACTCCATGGATATGCTGTGAGGTGGTTACTACATGTATAAATACAGGTGACGACCGACCCACGCCTTAAGAAGCTTCGCCCTAAAACTTTATCGACCATGTTTGTTGGTATTAAACGAGGTAGGGCTACAAGCGCCCCAGCCTAGGTGATGGTCTCGAGTCCTTGGACATGGACGGCTTCCTGGGAATGCCGGGCTGCCCACTGCTGATCGGCGAGGTCGCATCTGAGCACCGTCACCTCAAATCACGCCTCATGGTTTGACTATCATGTCTTCCCGGCTCATACGGGACTGCTGCACGCTACCGGCACACACCCACAGCATGTGCTGCAGCGTCACTTTTGCTCCACACGTTTTACAGTCGTCGGACGCATAAATGTCTGGATAACAGAGGCGTAGAATCACTGGGTGCGAGTGTGTGAGTGTGTAATAGTCTGCAGGCAACTCTCTGCTTCTTGTTTAGTTTTTCGTGGGGTGGTAGACTCTCTCTCTCTTCTACCGTCCGGACGAATGCACTAAAAGTAAGCAAGTAGGATAGGAACGAGAGAACGAAGATACCTCACCTGCGAGTCATGGTTTTTATCGATATCTATCCCGCTTTTGAAGATGTTGGCGTTGCATAGAAATGGCCGTAAAAAACTAGAAGTAGAAAAACAAAATGCAGCACACGGTGCACGCACCGTTAAAAGATGAAAATGTAAGCTTGTATTTAATTGAGAAAACTTGGTTACAATATTATTCGCACAACCACTCTAAACAGCAACAAGTACAACCGCTGAAGTCACTCGCAATTCGCAAACTCTTCTTCGCTCGCTCTTCTCGCTGCGTCTCTGGTTCTTGCTACGCTTTTTTCGCTCTGCTCTTCTGGTCACTGGTCCACGCACACATACGCGTACGCTGACGCAAACACGCACACACAAGCACACACACGCACGCGTGCACTAAAGGTTGCACGAAGTCACAGGATGCGTTCCTTGGCTTCGCCATTTGGGAAAACAGTGTCGAACGTCCTGCAGGGCACGATTGCGCAAAGTGTCGTGTTTTCCCCCTCTTGCATTCGAACCATCCAAGTGCAATAAAGCGGGGCTGCCTCATCTGTCCAAACCCAGCGCCCGCAGCATTGGGAGGCTCACTGATCGCAGCCGCCAACAATGAGGAGGGCCCTTTCAGGTGGCTAACAGGTATTCGCGCAACACAACACACGCACAAAAGGAAGAAAAAATGTAGAATATGTTCAGAAGTCGCGTACATGATCTTGAGAACATTTTCTTTTTTTTTCTGCGAAAGCGTAACTTACTTTCACTGTGATCGCGGGCGCGTGCGTCGACACGTGGTGGCCTCCCGCGGTGGCCTCGCTAACTATGCAGCCCACGATGTTCAAGTCAGCTAATGGCCGTGAACTTGGGTGTATGGCACCCGATTTGGTATGTGGCATTGTTTGTTGAGAGCTGAGGGAATAACTTTTCACTGATTTTAATTAATGTTAATTCTAAACAGCGTGGTACGCTATAATCTGCGGCTCCCCTTTTTTAAGGAGTCATGGCTACCTACGTCAATGTTTTCTTATTATGCTCAAAAAGTGTTGGAGGGCCCCTTTAAGTTAGTTATCTAAATTCGCGTAAGCTGAAAATCTGGTCTCTTACTCGCTCTTCTTTTGGTAAAGCACTGTGCGCATCAAGCCACCAAACATGGCAAGCTGACTATCGGGAAACACTGGAACGGTTCAAATTCTTCGAACGGAGCCCATGAACAGCACAGCCTTTGGATGATAGCTAAGTATAAAAAACATAAAAGGCCGATTGACGATAAATACGGTCTGATCTAACGCTGCGCAGTCGCACATGTCGAGTGCGGTCGCACTGGCTGCCTCGGTGCCTTCTTCGTTGACTTCCACGAACGTCTTGTGAAAGACTTCTGAAACTGGTACATTATACTTCTCAAATATTCCCGTGAGGTCCGCGGCTTCCGTAAAGAAATCTTCGATGCCCATGGCATACAGCGTCTGCTTCAGATTGACCGTCTGTTCCAGTGTAAATTTTGGAATGCCCAACTGGACGTCACTGTCGAGAGTTAGGGACTTCAGGAGGTGAGACATTTTGGCAAAGGTCAGACGTTCTTCGAGTTGAGCTAGCCCTTCGATATCGTCGGGCAAGAGGATGACCATGGAAGCCTTTCCGCCTTTGTAAGGGATCTCCAGTGCGGTCACAGCGAGGTCATTGTCGTGACCCATCTTGTAGTCATCTTCTTTGTACATCATGTCCACCTTCGTCGTGTTCCTCTTGTCCAAGTGGAAATCGGAGCGTTCTGTCAGTGCAGGCTCGAACTGGCACTCCCACAGGCCTTTGAAGTAGACTGCATTCACCAGCATCATTTTGGTCAAGCTGTTCACGCTTCCACGAGGAAGAAGATCTCTGATCTTAGTTTCCGTGACTTGCTCGACCCAAGCGTTAATTCGTCGCCTGACGTTCTCGAAGTCGTTCTTGAAGTCGACCGTTTCGAGCGTGGCGCCGTACGAGTCCCGTATGAGGGCGCCGTAGCTTTCGAGGACCGGAAGAGTCTCGTCCGTGCACATACGATTGGCCATGCGCAACTTGACTCCAGGAGCGAGGCCCGTTAGCTTGGACCGGAAGCTGAAGAAGTTCTGGTGGACCTCGTCCCCGTTCACGTGCAGGACGTCGGCGAGCTGCTTGGCGGTGACGTTTCGGGCCCCCGCCAGAGCCATATAGAGTGCCGCCGAGATACTGAACGGGGAGAAGACAATGTTTTCGGAAGAGTTGTTTGTTGAGGCCAGCTGCTTGTACAGGTCGATGGAAAAGTCGAGCAATGAGTCACCGAGTTCCCTAGTCGCCATTTTTCTTGTCCGAGTCTGCGAATGAATAAGATGTATATATAGCAGATTTAAAGGAGCAGGAGCTTGTTTCTCTTCTTTATTAGTTGAATGCAGAATTTTTTTTTGTCCGAAGCGAGTTTTTTCGCGTATTAATTAAATTGTCTTACACTAAAGATTTTGCTAAGACAATACTTCAGCCAACCATGATGTAGTACATATCATTAGCGAACGAGGCTCATTATTGGGATGAGCACTTACGAAAGAAACATTTTGATCAATTGGCCCCAAAGGTATTAACTAAGGCAACTTAGAAAAAAAAAACAAAGGGAAGACGTGTGTTCACGTTATATATATATATATATATATATATATATATATATATATATATATATATATATATATATATATTATATATATAGTGTGTGTGTGTGTGTTATTTCAACTTTTCATGTATTTTTTAATGGTCCTAGGGTGTTGAAAACGTTGAAAGCATGTCACCATTACCGGACGGGCTCTAAGTAGTAATATATTCAGCACCTTCGCACCATTAAGAAAGAGCGGAATGAAGAAGTTAAAATACCTCCGGAATGTTGACTAAAGTGTCATTATGTGCACGATAACGAATCATCTCTAACATGTCTAGGATACATCATTTTATCATGCACACCAGTGGTGAGCGATCCCGCATCGGCCCATACCTGAAACACAATAAAAACAGTTTAGATGAAATATACTTTAACTCTCTCGTTCGTTGTTATTAACACCATGTGCATAATTATCAGAAGCCAAACACAACGCTTCAGTACTGTATTGCAGGCCGTCGACTGCATCATAATTCTGCCACTTGGGACAAAGAAGCGGGTCAATATAATCTGCTCTTTGATGGTCCAAGGGGGAGGTTACTGTTCTATGAAGGAAACACTACTGCCCCACTTTGACTTCAGATACAGCAGTATTACCAAAACAAGTGACAAGGAGTTCTATGACATGCATTGTTCGCCGCTGAAAAGAATCCGCTGGAACCTCGTGCTCTCGTGCTATGCAGTGAAGGTTAGACAAAGGCAGATTTTCTACTACTTTGTGGTTGTTCAGGTGAAAGTTCTTTTTCTCCATTAAAACAGAAACTGCTCTTTTGAAACTTTCTGCTTATTTTACTGTCAAACTATGTTATGCAATGTCATAAGAGCCATGTTTTTTCTTGGAACGCTATATTGAGAGAATTAAACCGCAATATGAGCCAAAATGGTGTTTTTTCTAAGTTTGCCACAATACTCTGGCAGTATTTATGCTTCTTTGTTTCCGAAGTATTTCAATCAATCAATAAAGCAACATATGAAACAGGAAATGGCATCATACTACTGACGAAAAAACTAGTGTTTTTTATATAAAAAGCGCTAAACAAGAAGCATACTGCCATTATTCACCAAAGCAAAAAAAAAAAGAAAATGAAAACACAAATAAATAAACTATCATTGTCAAGCGTATCGCCTTGAGATAATTGAAAAAAATCATTTCGTAGTAATTGCTCAAACCACTAATATTATATAAATTATTTGGGGACACAGTTTCCCATGGGTGGCCAAAGCTAGAAGCGCCCTTTAGGCAACACAATTTTTTTAAAGTGTAACACCTCAATAACTACTTCTGCGCTACACATACACATCCATGATTTTTTTTTTCAGCATGGTCGGAGATGGTCGTAAATAGACCAAGTACACTTGCACTTGATATAGCATAGCATAACCCATCTAGTATATATATATATATATATATATATATATATTATATATATATATATATATATATATATATATATATATATATATATATATATATATATATATATATATATATATATATATATATATATATAAGGGAGGAGTGTATACCTAAGGGCTCGTTTTTTCCGTGTTTTAACACAATATAATAAGATCTAACAGACAGTAATGCCAAGGAATGTACAGGGGAAGTTAGTTATTCGAACCAATGGAATGTAAATAAGAAGAAAGAAAAGTGGATGAAAAAATGGCCAGCCGTGAGCAGGAAACGAACCTTTTGCTCACGGCTGGCTATTTTTTCATCCACTTTTCTTTCTTCTTATTTACAATCCATTGGTTCTAATAACTTCCCCTGTACATTCCTTGGCTGTTAGATATCTCTCTCTCTCTCTCTATATATATATATATATATATATATATATATATATATATTGTGTGTGTGTGTGTGTGTGTGTGTGTGTGTGTGAAAACATAGGTTGTTCAATAAACGTTCATATTCCGTGAAAGAATGGCTGTTGTATGGTTTGCAGAATCGGTCGCCGCCCTGAGATAGGAACCTATAACACTCACTCGATGATGTCTAAGCAAACGTGGCATGTTCCACGAGTGGAAGAACAACACAATGGCTAGGCTACTGCGGTTCATATGACAGGTAAACTTTGGCCGCTTTCACCCTAAATGGTTTACGCAGCGTTTGTAGGCGTGGTTCTCTCGCTAAAAAGAAAAATATGTGCCCTTGGCATAAGCTTTTACCTATAGTATACAGCGGTGTTTACTGCATTAACGTAATTGTGAAAGCGCAAAAACCTATTGCAAATTTCTCGGAACTTTGAATCAATACATGCTTATCAGTTGCATTTATTCTTGATTACCCAGGTGCTTCACAGCAACGCACCAATGCGGGTAAGACATTTTATAACTATAAGGTTGCCGATGGGTCACACTAGCATTCCGGAATTCGTGCAATCAATGTTAGACTAGGCCTACAGGAACTGGACGAATGAACGGAGTGTCGACAAACGACGCCGAATTGTCACTGGAAGATATTCGACAAAACAAAACGCTGAGCAGTGCGCAACGAGTGACGGCATGATCTTGTTACCACAAAATAATGCGGAATGATGTATGCAATTCATTAGAACCTACGCAGTGCCAGATTCGCGTGCAGTAAAGACGATGTTATGTAAACACAAACGCACGCACGCCCACACACGCTTTTACAGCCTTTTCCTGTCATTTCGACTGAAGTGTAAATCAGCAAGCTGTCAAACTACAATTATCATAAAGTAAGAAGTTATTTAAAGATGGATGTTATTAACTACGCACCTCAGAGGACCTCCCACAGCGATAGGAAGCGCCAAGATTGCAGTCGTTGAAACAAGGTTATAGATGTCACTTGCTTGTCCCCACCGACGTACCAAACGGAGTGAGACTGACGCTTTAAGAGCATTGTTATCGCTATCGCGAGTAGCCGTACAGCCACAAAATGCAACAAGAAAAAAAGAACGTCCCATACAAAAGCATGGAGGCTGGGATTGTCTCGCAAAGCGAAGCTATGGCTGATAGTGCCGCATTGTGTGTAGCATCGGACACTTCACTGCTGTGTCGAAAATGACACAATCGTCTGGCGGACACGTGTTGCATGCGGACATTTCAGAGCGAGTGGGCGCGATGCCTTCGTCCACTCGATTTCGCACTGACTGCGTTTTCCAGTCGCGCAGGTTCTGACATCCCCACAAACTGTGTCTGGCTTGGTTCAGGTTGATCTCGTTCACGGACAAAAGACGCGTGGAACAACAATTTACGGGAAGCGCACCGCGCTGGTCTTGCGGTAATGGTTCTCAACTGCTTACCGAAGGTCGCAGGAGCCGCATTGTAGGGCTACAGAGGAATACGCTGAGGCGAGGATAGCCTTGAAACACCCCCCGAAACCTCGATTTTACGATGCGCTCCTACAATACAAAGAGCGTTTAAATTGTCCACTAAGGTGACCGTTTCGTCATGTTGATAGGACAAGGCTGAAACGAAAAGTGCACAACACAAGTGCTCGGAAGTAATGCGTCTACAAGCTCTTCTGTCTACACGTCTTGTGCGAGTCGAGTTTCTACTGTAAAGTGTATTTAAAGGCCAGTTGTTAGTTTTCTAAGATTTTAAATGCGAAGCATTTCTTCACGAACTTCAGTGCCTTTGCCCGTGTCTATCTATCTAGCCGCCTTGGACATTTCGTTTTTCTAACCGTTTCAATTGTTGGATCTACAAAGTTGGTACGGCATAGCATGACTGTATGACGAGCGTAATGAACTAGTCATAAAAAAATCGCGGCATGAATGTCATGAATTACGCGATTTACATGTCATGGTTTTGCTGCTCTTGCGGTGGTTTCATTCACATGACAGATTGCAAAGCTAGTATGGCATGACATGACCGCATGTCGAACGTGACAGGCCCTAACGTAGAAATCATGACATGCATATCATGTAAGTTATGAATACATGCTACGATCATAGTGCGCTCGCGGCCGTTTCGCTAGCTTCACATATATCAAATGTGGATATTGCATGACGTGAATGGAGGACGAAGGTATATGACTGGTGCAAACATGATAATCATGACATGCGTGTCAGGTAAGAACATGACCACATACCACGATCATGATGAGCTCGAGGCCGTTTCGCTAGCTTCACATGAACGAATATTGCGTGACGCGAATGGACGACGAGGGTAAATGACACGTCCAAACATGATAATCATGACACGTGTATAACGTAAAACATGACTTATTGCTATGCTCAGAGAATGCTCGCGGTCGTTTCGCTAGCTTCAAATATACTAAATTTGGTATTACGTGACGTGAATGGACGACGAACGTAAATGCCATGCGCAAACATGATAATCATGACATGAATGTCATGTACGGTATAACATATAACCTGCCTCATTCGTGCATTACATATGATCGATTCCCACTGTACGTAGGATCTGACATTTTTTTCTCAGTGTCTTAAACAGAGCTCCTTTTTCTGGAACTCAAAATTACATAGGACAACAAAGGAAGAACGTTAGGACGTAGAAAATGATAAGGCATGCCATACCCACACAATGACATCCACACACACGTTTTTGTATACTAACACGCTTTATTGCAATATCTTAGCACTCGACGACAGTTCATCGGTAAACTTCGTGTAAGATTGTCGAAAATCGCCTGGAGCGCATACTTCCAACGCTCTACATATTGGCCCCCTTTACAAGTCGCGTACGGATCCCATGAAGAGCACAATATCTGGGTCACGACTGCGAATGACGAACATGAACGGCCGATCCACTATAAACTTGTAGGTCTGCGGTGGCGCTGAAGACAAGCAGCAGGCGGCCATCATTACTGCTGTGGCAGCAGCGGCTTCGGTGCCTTCTTCGTTCACTTCCACGAAAGCCTTGTGAACCACTTCGGAAGCTGCCAGCTTGTCCTTCTCACTGATGGCGGACAGATCAGCATCGAACGAGAAAAAATCGTTGATTCCCATTTGTTTCAGTACTTCCTTCAGGTTAATTTGTCTGTTCAAGTTCGAACTTCGGCAGGTACAACTCGACGTCAAAAAATCCACGAAGGTTCTCTAGCAGGTTCCCGAGCTTTGAAGCGGTCAAGCGCTTTTCGAGTTTGGACAGTCCTCCAAGCTCATCGGGCAGAAGGATCACCATGGATGTTTTGCCACCCCGGTACGGTATCTCGAGGGCTTCCACGCCGAGCTCCTTGCTTCTGCCAGTGCAGTAACGATCCTTTTGGAACATCATGTCGACCTGTTTTTTGCTCTTGGAATCCAGGTGGAAATAGGAGGGATGAGTCGCGTCAGGCTCGAACTGAGACGCCCAAAGGCCCTTGAAGTAGATAGCGTTTATCAGGATGAGAGTGGTATTGTCGTTCACGCTGCCTCCTGGTAGAAGATCTTTGATCTTGGACTCAGTCTCTCGCGCCACCCACTCGTTGGCCTGAAGTCGAATTGTCTCGCTCTTGTTCTTGAAGTCAACGGACTCGACAGTTGCGCCGTAGCTGTCTCGAAGGAGAGACAGGTAACTCTCCAAGACGGGGAACGTCTGTTCGCAGTACATGCGGTTGGCGATGTGCAGCTTCACGTCAGCAGCGTACGACGACAGCTTCGAGAAGAAATCGGAAAAGTGTCTGTGTATTTGTGCATCGTCGGGAACTCGAAGAACCGTGGACAACTCCTTGGCTGTTTTGTTGCGCGCTCCTCCGAGGGCCATTGAAAGAGCAGCCGAGATGCTGAATGGCGAGAAAAAAATGTTTTTCTTGCGGCCGTCCTTCGGCTTCAATTGGCCATACAAGCCGATGGCGAAGTTGAGAACAGAGTCCCCGAGCTGGTTGACGGCCATGTTCGGAATGCCTGCACGGAATTAAAACAATTTTGTGAAGTACTTTGCGACGACAAGTAGCGCTAGTGGAGTATCATAGGTGTAGTTTCTACGTAGGTGACAATATACGCAGTGAAAATAAAACACTTAAGCGTGTGAACAACGACAGGTTACAACACTTCCTGCATTGTGTGCTTCGCGTGCTTCGCATGCTTGGCGTACGGCGTGCAAAGAAAACAATGCCAACATCGGGACACAGAAAAAGATAGTCTGTCCCGTCGGTGAAGTAGGAGTCATACACGCGTTTCCATAGCTTAACATTCTTTATTGCAATATTTGAAGCACTCCGCAGCAGCACATTGGCAAGCGTCGTGTAACATTGTCAGGAGTGACCAGCAACATATATTGGCAAAGCGGTACAGGAGTATCGCGTTTACAAGTCGCGGACGGAGCCCATGAAGAGCACGAGATCTGGGTCACGGCTCCGAATGACAAACATGAAAGGCCGATCTACTATAAATTTGTAGGTCCGTGGTGGCAGTGAAGACATACAGCAGGCTACCATCATTACAGCGGTAGCGGCCGCGGCTTCGGTGCCTTCTTCATTGACTTCCACGAACGCCTTATGAACCACTTCGGAAGCTGCCAGTTTTTTCTTCTCACTAATACCGGACAGGTCGGCATCCGACGAGAAAAAATCCTTGATTCCCATTTCATGTAATACTTCCTTCAGACTAATCACTTGTTCCAGCTTGAACTTGGGCAGGTACAGCTCGACGTCGGCAAATCCACAAAGGTTGTCCAGTAGGCTCGCAAGCTTGGAAGCTGTCAAGCGTTCCTCGAGCTTGGACAGTCCCTCAACATCGTTAGGCCGGAGTATGACCATGGAAGTTTTATTGCCTTGGTACGTTATCTCCAGGGCTTCCACGTCAAGTTCCTGGCACTGGCCGTGCTGTAACGGTCCTTATGAAACATCATCTCGACTTTCTTCTTGCTCTTGGAGTCCAGGTGGAAATCGGAGGGACGAGTGGCGTCAGGTTTAAATTGCGAAGCCCAAAGGCCCTTAAAGTAGATGGCGTTTATCAGAATCAGAGTGGTCCCAGCGTTCACGCTGCCTCCAGGTAGCAGATCTTTTATCTTGTACCCTGTCTCTCGCTCTACCCACGCGTTGGCTTGAAGTCGGACTGCCTCGTGGTCACCCTTGAAGTCGACGGACTCGATAGTGGCACCATAGCTGTCACGCAGAAGGGACAAGTAGCTGGCCAGCACGGGGAACGTCTGTTCGCAGTACATGCGGTTGGCTATGTGCAGCTTTACATCGGCAGCGTAGGACTTCAGCTTCGAGAAGAAGTCAGAAAAGTGTCTGTGTATCTGCACATCGTCGGGCACTCGGAGCACGGTACACAACTCCTCGGCCGTTTTGTTGCGTGCTCCTCCGAGGGCCATTGAAAGGGCAGCCGAGATGCTGAACGGTGAGAAAAAGATGTTTCTCTTGTCCCCATCCTTCGGCTTTAACTGCCCGTACAAGTCAACGGCGAAGTTGAGAACAGAGTCCCGGAGCTGGTTTACGGCCATGTTAGGAACGCCTGCATGGAAAAGAAACAATTTTTTGAGGCCCTTGTGACCGCGAAAGGCTTTAGTGAAAAGTTGTGCGAGTGGTTGTCACGTTCACAATATTAAGCTGTGGAACAAATGTCTAACGCGAAGACAACAGCAGATTACAAAAATCGTTGTAGTGTCGTCACCATAGCAGTCGAGCATATCTGTGCTTCTTGCGGGTGTTTTGTGTTACTGACGATGACGATAGCTGTATGCAGCTCTCATATTTATAAACAGACAGAACACCGTGAAGATGAAGCTTGTATATTAACGAATAGGGGCATGTAAGCTGAACTCTGAATATATATAAATAATCGCTTTATAAGATAAGTAAATAGCTTAATAGTTGGAGTGGGTTTGAATCAAGACGAAAGTGTGAATTATGCAGATCGCATGGTATAAGGTACCATTCTTTCCAGTTAGTTGCGTGCACGAAGCAATAATCATATTTCAATCAATAAATGG